TTCTTCCTGTTCTTCCTTGAAACCACAGTTTGCCACTCCATTACTTTTTTGCCAATACCGTCAATGCACATCACCCTTTTTCTCATTCCACTCAGTAAATCCTTAATCCTCAATTAATTCACCTGTCTGGCTTCTTGGCTACTGATCATTACTGTAGAAAATGTAACATCCTCATAAATTACTATCACAAACATCTAGTCTACAGCTCCAAATGAACCCCCAGTACTACCCCTTTGACTTCCTATGTATTGCTGCTAATTGGCCCTCTCACTCCACAGTTTTCCAAATCTCTGTTCTTCCTAATCCCTTACCATGACATCTCCCGCTCACTCTCAGAAGAAGATGTCACTTAATACTTTACATAAAAACAAATAGTAATTATCACGTGGGAAATACTTTGACTACCTAATCTTTCATTTATAAACTTGCATGCACATACGTCAGGCCTTCCTCTTGTCCTCGCACATTCCCAGATGTCTGGCTTCCTGTTCTATCTGACATCTTCAAACTTTAGAACTCTCTCCCGGATTCTTCCCATCGTGGTCAAATATTTTTCATCTTAAATCAATAAATCAGTCAGTTCCATTCTCCATTTGTTTTCTGTTACCATCTTCTCTCTCCTTTTCAAAGCCAAATTTGTTGAGTTTCCTGTGCTTGCTATATCCACTTCCTTATACAACATTCACTGTCTTTGCCCTTCCCCCTAGAATTGCACTGTCAAATTCACCAGTGACCTCTGGATCACTAAACAAAATGGCTTCTTTTCAGAGCTCATGTTACACAGGCCTCTCTTTAGAAATACTTTTTTGCTTTCGGCTTCTTTGAAACCTCATACCCTTAGTTTTCTTTCTATGTCTATAGTTGTCTCTTTTCAATCTTTATTTCAGGCTCCTTGTTCTGCCCATTTGTTATTTTCAAGGTTCTACCTACTTCTCTTGACTCTAAGCACATTTTTAATTCCATAATGGTAATGCCAAAATCCACTTCGACCTAAGAGATGTCTTCTGAGCTCAGATACACACATCTGAACATCTATTAAACATCTCTGTCTGGATGCATCACAGACGTCTCAAATTCGACATTTTGAACACTGAACTCAGCTTTTTTTCTGACAAACTGATCCTTTCTCCTGTGGTTCAGATCCTGGCAAATGGCACCTTAGGCCATTGAACTGCCAGAAATTTAAGAGCTACCTTTAGTTATTTTCTCCTTCTATCCCGATATTCAATCAGTTGCCAAGTCCTGTGCGTTATACCTCCTTAATATGTCATAAATTTTCCAACTCTCCACTCTCATTTCCACAACTTGAGTACATGCCACCATGATTTCTTTCTTGGATTCTTGATTTCTGTTCCCCTTTTTTTAGTTTTCCTCTCTCCAGTGCATACTTCTCCTGTAGCCAGAGTAATCATGTCACTCTCCAACTTAAAACTTTTTAATGTCTTTCTATTACCATCAGGATAGAGTTCAAGTTACCATATCTGGTGATATTGCTCCAGCTTATTAATTTCTCCAGGCTCATTTTCTCTACTCCCCATATTTCTGTATGTATCCTTTCCCTATTTAACCACCCGTAGTTCCCTGAATTGGCCGTACCCTGCTCCCATGAGCTTTTTTACATGCTGCCCCTTGGGTCTAAAACTCTCCCCTCTGACTTATTTTTTACTTAGCTAATTGCCATGTGTCCTTATATCTACATTTAGAGATTTCTTCTATTGGGACCTCTTCTCTGACTTCTCCTACTATATGTTAGTTGCTCTTTCTTTGTACCAGCACAGTACCTTGTACTACTAATAATTACTATAGTTATGGTTAATAATATTTGAGCATTCATCTTATGCCAGGATTTGTTCTCTATCTTAACTCACATAATGCTCACAACATCCTTATGAGGTAATTATTAATATTTCCCCAGATGAGTAATCTGAGTTACAGAGAAGTTAAGTACTTTTTCCAAGTTTTCACAACTAGTAAATGACACAAGTAGGTTCTAAACTTGAGCATCTCATTGAAAAGTTTACGAACTTAAACAACATGGTATCTGTTCATATGGAAGCATTTATGGCACTGTGCTGTAATAACCTGTTTATACATAACTTCCTTACTAGACTCTAAGTTCTTAGGGGCAAGTTGCATACCCAGCACCTAGCACAGTGATTACCATATAGTATGCTTCCAATAAATATTATTTAAATAAATAAAAGAGCAAGATGACTTGACTCAAAGGAAAAAGGCTCCTCACCCCAAACTAGATTTATACTAACCAAGCTTCAGTGTATGCCATAGTAATATTTTACCCCAACAATACCAAGTGACTTTCTGTATCTAATCACCCCATATTGTTTCTTATTTCTAAGAGTTTACACATCCTGTCCCAGTTGCCTAATATACCTTCCCACTCCTGTCTAACTGGTAAACACCTATTCATCCTTCCAAGTTGAGCTTAGAATTTACTTTATTCCTGAGGATTTTAAATCTCCTGTTTAGATTCTTGTTCCTCCATACTTTATACATTTAACATCACAAATAATAACATTAAATTGGACCGTGATATTTTTTGCCAGGGGTTTATTTTTAATTTATCTTTGTATCCCAAGCACTTGAGGGCACTGTCTAGCACTCAGAAGTTGTTCAATAAATATTTGAAATATTGATAGAATAAAATTAGGTTGGGTTATGTCTCTTTAGATTGTCAAACAGATATCGTGAATTCTAGTAAATTACAGCAATTTGGGTGCCTCCTACACTGACAGAATTATTTTGAATTGTAAAATATTGGCATACTGGGAGATTTGAGAAGAAGATATAACAACACGCTTGCCTATTTCACTCTCCTGATATGGTCAACGGTTAGGCAAAGGTTACACAATTTTTCAAAAGTCACTGAAGTTGTCCCACCAGCAAATTAACAGAGAACATTTTAGAAAGGCAATTCCGTTTCTATTCGGAGGTAGACCAAAGAAGTCTCTCTAAATTTATTATATATCAAAACACCAATTAAATTTTATAAGGGGAAAATAACTGTAAAATCCCTTCAAAAGTTATTTTTGATATCAACTTCCTATTGGTCCCTTCCTTTGTACTGCACTGCTGGGAATCTAGTATAACTTTTGTATTGTAAATATATCATACCTCGACTTTCTGTTTATGTGGTTCTTATTTCTTCTTCCTCAAGCACACACAAAACTGCCAGATTAAGTTCCTTAAAGCACTACTTTTATCAAGTCATTTATCTGCTTAAGAACTTTCAGTGGCTTCTCTCTATGCAATCAAATGGGAACTGCTGAGCCTAGATTTTCAGCCAGATAATCTGTCTTAATCGATTTTTGTAGAGCCTGACCCATGGCTGACATCTAGATGTTTTGATTGATTTTTTTCATATGTTTTTGAAAGTAAAATTAGGAAACCTAGTTGAAGGGAAATACCAGTTTGTGTCTTTTACTATTATTAATATTGGTAAATTATCAAGCATAGATGCCTCTTGTTAAACAAAGTTGCCACATGTTAAATAAAGTAAAAGCTGTATACATTAAGTGAAGTCCCTTCCCAGGGGTCCCATATCCTAAATAAAATAGGCATGTGAGGATATGACAGGCAATACAGTTTGGGGAAAGATGAGTGGCATTTTAATTAATGGCAATTTATAGAGATCTTGAAGAGGACCAAAATGACTTCACAGCTGAAAGCTAACTCGTTGTTCCTTGATGGGGACATTCTCAAATGAAGTTCCTATATGAGTATTCAGTAATGAACCATACTAAACAAGACATGAAAAGAGGATGACCCTTCAGATGTTCTCTGCTTGTAAACCACTGTCCAGTCACTAGACTCAACTGCCCCATGGGCTCTTTTAGTCTATTTCTGGGCTTTGTTTTTTGCTCTATCTTTCCAATGCCCATCTTGGTTTCTATTTTATGTCCTTGCCATCTGATATGTTAAAGTATCAAAGAGTTCAAAGCTCTTCAGACTGCCAATATTTTATTTAGTTAAAACAACAAAAATAAAAAATTGTGTTCATTTTCCTCTTTGCAAGAAAGGAAAATTCAAAATTAAGATGAAAGTATAAGAAGATCTGTGCAGTTCAAAATAAAACCCACCTCCTCCATGTACATGTACCCTATTGCAAACCGTGCCACTAAATTTTATAAAACAAATATTGCTAATTAAAATCCTCAAGACACTAATGTATTCTCAAATCAACCTGTACCACTTTGTTGTACAAATGGAACATTGGCAGCCAAAAATTCAAAATTAAGATGAAAGTATAAGAAGATCTGTGCAGTTCAAAATAAAACCCACCTCCTCCATGTACATGTACCCTATTGCAAACTGTGCCACTAAATTTTATAAAACAAATATTGCTAATTAAAATCCTCAGGACACTAATGTATTCTCAAATCAACCTGTACCACTTTGTTGTACAAATGGAACATTGGCAGCTTTGCTTTCAGAATCCAAAATATCATTTTTTGAACAAATTTGAAGTTTCGATTCATTCAACAAATAATTATATTGAGCACCTACTATGTGTCAGACACTATGCTAGGTGCTGAGCAAGCAAAATGGGATGATTTTCTGATTTCAGAAGAATTCTGGTCTCTAAAGCAGTGCTTCTCAAACTATTTTTATTAAGCTATGCCCTCTTTTGCCAAACATAAAATCCTTCTCCCACTTTTCGGAAATTCGGGTGACCTTGTCTAACACTGAGAATCATTGACACACAGAACATAGACTCTATCTTCTGTGTATCCTTGATAGACAAAGTGTCTTTGAGGTTTTATTTTTTATTTAAAAAGCCACATATTTATTTTCTAGACATAAAACTGGATTCGATATTAGATATACCTTTCAGAACTACATATGCCCCCTGCCAAACTGTAATTCAAATTTCCTATACCCTCCCCTGTTGAGAATCACTGCTTTAAAGAGTTTTGGAGAAAACCAGGCAATCTCCATCTCTCCCCTCCAATCAAGCTTTAAAGGAATTAGAATTTTCCTACCTGACACAACAGCTGGTGGAGTATCATAATCCTGTCTTGGGATTGAATCTTTGAATGAAAAGAGCATGAGAAAGAATGCAATGAAGTACAAAAGAAAATAAAATAGAAACTTTGCTCTAAAACTTGGAAGAGACTGCTGGGTGCCACATGATTGCCTGACACCCCTTCCCACTTCCTGCCTTCAAGCAGTCAAGGCATTATGACCTTTAGTTTTCAGTTGACACCATGATCCCCATTACCCTCACACTGTACATGTTGTTAGGATCTGCTGGAACAGTACGGTTTGCTCCAGAACATTGTCATCTTCCTCGGCCTGTTTTGTCCCTCCCTCAGAAAATCAATGTGATTTTTTTTTATAATCCCCAAATCTGGGTTAAGTAGAATCACTTTTAAAGTGTCTCCAAAAGTTTTATTAGTAGTGGTAGTAATTCCTAGTATTCCTAGTACCTTTTAACAAACTGCAATCATACATTACCATTCCAAAACAAAAAACAAATTAAAAAGGACCATGTCACCAGTCATTTCACAAGAATATATTTATAACATTTTAAAATAAATAATAAGAACAAATAATGTTCATTGTTCAATAGTTGGAGAATATAGAAAAGTATAAAGATTAAAATAGATATTACCCTAATCTCATCACCCAGAAATAATAACACTTGTTTTGCATTTCTCTACAGCCTTATTTTATAAATATACTTTTCATAGCTGATACTGTACTCCAAATATGCAAATTTACATCCAGCTTTTTTGATTTAACACTATAAATAATACTTTTCCTAATTATTTTAAACTCATGATTTATGCTGCATTACATTCTGATTTATGGATGCATTAGATCTATTTAATTCTTCTTTATTAGACATTATAAAGAACACCGTGCCAAACATTTTTGGGGCACAAACATTTTTGGGGCATGAAGTCTTTTCCATTATTTTAGAATATTTCCACAGACTAGCTTCTCCAAACCACAACCATTCGGTCAGTCAATATAAATGTTTTGAAATGTCTTGCCTGCCCACCTTGCTATCCAACTGACAAATTTAGATTCCCATCATCATATATATAATCAGTGTTCGAGAATGCTTATTTTCTTACACCTTCATCAGCAATGTGTATTATTTTAATAACTTCATTTGATGATATGTGTGTGTGCATTTCTTTTTCTTTGATTACAATTTTTTCATATGTTCTCTGGCATTCTGTTTTCTCCTTTATCAGCTATCTGTTCATGTTCTTTGGCATTTTATCTATTGGCACTTTTCTATTATGTCATTAATTTATGTGAACTCAGAATTCATTTTTTAAACAGAAAAGCATAATATTTGTAGATAAACTATTATACCAGACTTTCACTTAATGCCTACTCATTTACATTTCATGTTATAAGACTACTTTCAAAGGTCTTTTATTTCACAATCAGACTAAACAAAGTTTTTTAAACTATTACATTTTTATCTATGTTTTCTTTCTTATACTTGACTGTTCTTAGTTAATCGATATTTTCTTTTGTAAAGTTATTTAAATAGACATACTCATTACCACTTATGATATTATTTCCTGAATCAGGAGTCTATTTAAAATCCTGTGTTGCTTTCTGTAACTCTCAGTCTTAATACTTATATGGATACTTAGTAATGCAAAAGAAAAAGGCAACTCTAAGCAAAGTGAATAATTCAGGATTTTCACCTGATACCATCAGAATTTTAGAGCAGGAAGGAGTGGTGTGACTTAAAACTGCTAGGGAACTGTAGTGCACAATGGAGTACAATTACAAGATCATTTTTGTGAGTGGCTAGGGTTACAGCATGGAAATCCAGTGAAGTAAGAAATCACCAGTGGCTTGGAGAACTGCAGATAAGAAGCCTGCAGAACAAAACTTTTTGTTTCTTTCAACAGATTCTGGTGACGTTGTAAGCCACTGGTGACCAGCAACTGAACAAATGGAAAAGAGATAAGGAACTTGTAAAACAAGATTGTCATGCAATTTGGAGGCTTTCATAACACAGTAAAGTCCCCAATGATTTTTGCTAAACCTTACAATAAAGTGATAAGAAATTATGGATAATGGGGCTTTGGTTGCATCGAGGGAATCCTGTAACAAAAAATAAACAAAAGCAGGAAACCTAGAAAAATTCTTCAAGGTCAGCAGAGCCCTGGGATAAAATAGTTACACTGCTTGCCTAAAATTCATTTCTTTTAAGTCCTGTAGATTCTGCCCAGCTTCAAATAGGTAGAAAATTGGACAATAAACATTTGAGGGGGCAAATTGTAGAGAAAGGTTAATTAGACTACATGGTATCCATTTCAAAATTTGGGGTCATGGAGAAAGAAAATATATCTGCTTTTGTCAAGATGAAAAAGAGGCTTGGGCTCAATGCAATTCTCTCAGGGATCTCCTACAGGGAAAATGGGACACAGACTGTGGCCTGAGGCCCCCTTATAAAAAAGGAAAATTCTAACCTAGCTCCCACTTCCACCAGCCCTAATCACTGCCTACTCTGGCTCATTCACTGGATCGTGCTCTACACTGCCTTTGGAACCCATCTGGTTTTAGAGTTGAGGTTCTTGTATTAATCTTGACTTGTCACTGTTCACACATTGTTTTGTAGAGTTTCAGTGAGCTCAGATGTCTGACAGCCTTTGAAAAGTTCCAGGTAGGACAGAGACAGTCAAATAGTTTTAGATTAATTGGCTGTGGCAAGATGGTGGAGAATGGATTGGAGCAAATTGAGACTGAAAGCAGGAAGAGCAGTTAGGAGATTATTACAATTAATCAAATAAGGCTCTGGGCAGACACTTTACAAATTTGGTAGAAAGAATGTATTTGACACATGTCTATGAGACAAAATCAGTGGGACTTGAAAAGAAATTGCATATGGTTGTGAAGAAAAAGGAAAGGGTCTAGACTGAGTCCCACTTGTATGGTTTGGCTACAGGGAAAATGTTCATGGCATTAGCTCCAAAGGAAATAGGGGGCAGGAACACACAAGAGGAAGAGGATTCTGTTGGAAGACAGCTCAGGGAAGCTTATGAGATTAGTTTGGGTCATGCTGACTTTGAGATATCTGAGGGAGATTCACATGGAAATATTTAGCAAGTAGTTGAATAAATGAGTCTAAAATTCTAAGATGAAGTTAGCATTGAGGACATAGATTTAGAAGTCTTCAGCACAAAGGGTAGGGTTTAAAACCATGCAAATGAATGAGATTGCTTAAGGAAATCACATGAATGAGAAGTAAGTTAAAACTGAAACCCTGGCTTTGGAGCCTATGAAAGAAAAGAAGTAAAAGCCAGAGAAGTTGGAGAAGAACCAAGAAAACCTTGGGCAGGAGTCACAAACTGGGAGCTTTGGGGACAAACTGGGCCCAATATTCAAAGATAGGAAAATTGTACATCAAAATCCAAATATTTAGCTTATCTTGAAAAATAGAAAGGTGAGACCACCCTGGGTCTGTATGCACATGTGGAAATAGCTGTCTGGAGCTGAGTAGTGTCTGCCCTCTCTTGACAAGGCATCTGTGTTCCAGGCTGCCAAAGGTGCCATCTCTTTCTACTATTCACCCGACACTCTGGCAGAGATATTATTACTGCATTGAAAATATCTCTTAAATGTAATCTCCAGTATTGTGTATATGTATATGACATGACTATGTTCATGATATAAGCAAATATAGAGACAATCATTATATGGTTATAATTATAAAATGATTATATATTCCCAAGGTGTTTTGCTTGAACTCTGTCTACTTTATTTATTAATGTGACTTGGCTGGACTCTATGGACTTGTGAGTTTGTACTCCTGTAAGAGTATGTTAGCAGCTAAAAAAGTGAAGACTTTAAAGAAATAATATTATATGGTTATAATTATAAAATGATTATATATTCCCAAGGTGTTTTGCTTGAACTCCGTCTACTTTATTTATTAATGTGACTTGGCTGGACTCTATGGACTTTTGAGTTTGTACTCCTGTAAGAGTATGTTAGCAGCTAAAAAAGTGAAGACTTTAAAGAAATAAGTTATATCAAGTGAAACAGACAAGAACAATTAGTTGTACTGTGAATTTGACAAGGTGCTACATTCCTTCTGGTGACCTGGACTAGATTCCCACCAGTAAGAAGCCACCAGAAGTACAGGCATAGGGCAGCTCATTCCATAAGCACCTACTAGATGTCACACATACTATCAGGTATGCTACATACATTATTGCATTTAAAGCTCTCACAACATCCCTGGGATGTTTTGTAATTGAGGTAGTAAAGTTCAAAAAGGTTAAGTAACCTGACTAAAAATGCATTGCTAATAAGGGGGAAGGACCAGGCTTTGAACTCAAGTTTGACTCCAAAGCCCACTGGTCCTTCCATGATGCCAGGCTGCCTTCCTATTAACAGAAATGTTGGAAAGATGCAATAAGGTGGGAAAATTTGACTTAAAAAATCAACCTCTGCTACATAATAGCTACTCTAAATGCCAATCAAAAATTCAGATACAATGAATCTAAAATGGTATATCAAAGAATTAGAGTGACAGTTTAAGAAAAAACATAACAGTATTCTGGACATTAAACAAACTCAATGATATTTTGTTTAATGAATCTACAAAGTAATACTATTTTCTCTGCACCTCTCCAGACCTTATTAAATATTAAATCTTTGTATAATATCATGCTATGGGAAGCTTATAATGTATCTAAGCATTATTTAGTACTAATGTTAAGGGAGAAAAATATGAAAAAAAGAGGAAATTTGGCGTTACAAATAAGCCACATGCTTAAAACTTTTACTGTCTAAGAAAGAGAGTTATATCACCTATATATATATACTTGGCTATTATGAACTGGGTCAAAGTTGTAGTCCCGGATAAATATGTTTTTGTTGAAAATTCTCAAACACACAATCATAATACATGCTATTGAATCAATAACTTACAATTCTGAGTCTGTTCTATATCTCTTATGTTATTTTTCAATTACCTAAAGGATTTAGTCATGTACTGAGTTAATCTATCTCTTATAGTTTTACTAGTTTGCAAACTTGAACCTTAGCAAGTCAGTTGGCTTTGCTTTTGATTCAAGTGAGAAAAATTTATAAAGTGTTTCTTTGTATGATTTGTATTATAACTGCCTCTTTTATCAGATTCCAGATTGTCATTCAATACAGTAAAATTGCATTACTTCACTCACTCAGAATTTATGATCATTAAAGGAGAGGGAGGCTGACATGGAATGAAATCTACAGTGGGAACATGAGAAACTTCAAGCTTCCCAGTACTGCTCTTGGGACCTGTTTTATCAGTAACGTACAAAGTGACTATAAATAATCCTTACACTTTGCTAAAAGCAATGCACATATTATCATTCACTCTATCTCCATAATGAAAATTAGCTGTATCGTCCTATATAGATAAATGTAGTCTTAGACATGACTTCTAAAAGTCTAGTTCCGAAACCTAACAAATCATTTGATCTAGCCCAAGCATTCGGATGGCTAAGGTATCATCAACTGCTTTTTACAAGTTCAGCAACTGAGGCCTTAGAGATCAGTACTTTATGTTAATAAAACTAAATTTCTTTATTGAAACAATGTGACTCTTTCCATTAAGGTATTTCAATTTTCTTCCTATATAGAGCAAATTAGTGAGTCCTCATTGGACATGTCAGAAACTTCTTATATTCCAAAAAGTCTATGAATCAACAACACCTATTTGGCAAGCAAGTCACTAGTATGAGATAAAATTGCCGATACTTAGCAAGTGTGCACAATGTACACAGGTACTTAGAGACGAAGCCAGCACAACTGTGCAGAATCACAGAGGTAGTGACTATGAGACATGCAGGTTTAAAGGTATCATCAAGTTAAATACTTAAACTAGAGAGGGAAATTGAGACTTGAAGATATCATTTCCCAAAGACAGATGGAAATATCAGGGCTCAATCAAGATCTGGATCCAGGATTCCTGACTCCTAGTTCGAGCTGCCAAGAAAGAAGAAAATATATTTTTTTCTTTCTATGTCTTTAAAAATGGCAAGATTATCTTCATTAACGTTCATGAAAAATAAAATGGTTATTGATGGTGTCAGGAGCAGTTGGCTTTGATGTTCTCCATAATGATAGTTAAAAAGTTTCAGTATTCTAGGTTGTATTAGACATTTTCCTTCTTGAACATTTGGAGGAATTGTCTTTTCAGAAAACAAAGTTTTGCCCATGATTTCAAATGCCTTGTTGATATAAAATCAAGGCTATAATAGGCATTTTTCAATAAACTTTTGTTTCCCAAGGAGAAATATGACTAGTCAAAAATATCCCAACCTGTAAGAAAAGATCAAGCACATTAGATTTCCTTCCTTCTTTTCAACATCATCAATGTAAACATATTCAAAAGAAAGATGAAAATAATTTGATTACACCAGGTTCTCAATTACTTTTTATTGATTTTAACACTGAAAGTAAATAAAAAGCCTTTTGTATCAGTCATAGTCACAGTTGGCCCCTCATTCTTGAATAATCTGGGACTGATATATAGGCTGAACTGGTAAGCAGCTGGGAAAAGAAAACCAGGCTCAAGTATATTCAGCTACAGGGTCTAGATTTGCAGGTGCATGCAAACCTGCATCTTTCCAAAAACAGACATTATACCTGGTGCATTGTGTCATCAGAACAAGAAATAGCTTGAATTTAAATGCAACATAGTAGAACTCTCAGCCTTGTCAACATGAGTAAATGTACCCTGGAACTGAACAGGCATACAGAATGCAGCCTTATTCATACTAGAACCTGAAAGTTGTGTTAGTCAATGATACAGAACCAGTTTCGCTAATAATGCTAGTGAAAACAGAATACTGCATCTTATCAAGGAAGTCCAAGGAAACAAAACAAAACAAACCCTTCAACTCACCGTTCCTGTTGTACCCAATGAAAGGTGATTCATCTGCTGTGTCAGGGGGCCCATCATGTTTGCTGGCTGCATTGACATAGGGTGGTCCATCGTTGGTGTAATCACAGCACCCTACAAGCACATACAATGTCCATCTGAAAACATGTTCCACAAGCAAGAAACTTTTAAAAAATAAACATAGTAAACTGTGTTAATGTGTTAACATCAAATGTGTTTACTTTCTAATGAAATGACTAAATTCTACCATATGTGATTTTTATGTCCATCCATGTCATTTTGTGCTTGTCTAAATATATGACTTTAGCAACTTCATTTCCTCTGATGTGATTTATCTGTGATATGTCTAAAATATCTGTTGTTTATATTTCCAACATTTGATGTAGAACATATTCAAATAAATTACATATATCCTCTCTTCCATTGTTCTAACTACAAACTTCTCTTACTAAAAAATATGAACATTAATAGAAATTCTCTAATTTTTCTTGATACTGAATAAGGCTTTTGGTTTATGACACTCATCTATGATTTATAGACAATTCTCGATCACCCCAATACAATCTATCACTGGGGGATAATGCTGGCCCAGACAGATGGGTTTCTTTTTTTTTTTTTTTTTTTTTTTTTTTTTTTGTCTTTTTTACTGACCGGTAACGGGATCGCAACCCTCGGTGTCGCGCCCGTACCGGGGACCGGCAACGGGATCGCAACCCTCGGTGTTGCACCCACACCGCGCTCAGCCAGTGAGCGGGAACCGGTCTCCACATGGGATCCGAACCCTTGGCGGGAGTGCCGCCGCGCTCTCAAGCGGCGCACTCTCCAGTGCGCCACCGGGCCGGCCCCCAGATGGGTTTCTTGACTAGATCTCTTTGAAGGTCATATTAAATCTAACATTAATGATCTAAAAATCAAAGTTACTATATCCCATATCTTCTCCATAGGAGGAAATATATCCCCCACAATATAATTACACACAAGCAGATGTTTCCCAAAATGCTTTTGCTCAGGGTGATCAGTTTGTCATGGTGTTATCTAAATCCAACTTCCTGACTGTAAATGCTAAAAGATTAGGCTACCAGTCAGCCTTCCCTATGTGCTCCTCCCATTAATCTTGAAGGAGAATAGAAATATATCCTCCTATGGAAAAGATATGGGATATTTGACATATTTTCTATCTATGCATTTGACAAAAGACAGAAGGCTACTGAATTCTGATGAAGCTGGTCAAATTCTTATGTTCATCCATAAATTAAAATTTAAGAAAAAGCAAAAGTATTAAATACTTTTATCAGATGTTAGGAAGGGCATACTTCTAGGATATATATTTTTAATTTATTATAAATGTTGGAAATACAAGAAATAATAGACATGTTTAAAGACTTTCATCCATATATCAAGTGTCATATGCCTAATGGTGCAGGCCATGTTACCTTCCATTCCTCTTCCTCTACCCTACTTCTTTCCCTTAATTAACTCAGAGAATGAAACAATATTTTTTCAAAACAAAATTAAAAAGCTGAAATTGGATGAAATCTTTGAGATTATATCATTCCAGAGCTTTACTACAAAGATTTTGGTGAAGGAAGAAGCTCATAATATAACAATCCACTTAAATAACCAGTTGTAATAAAATGATTATGCATTTGAGTAAATTATTTTTGCCTAAACATTCTCACTATGTGACCTTTTTTCTTTTTTTCATGTAAGTAAACATTTTGAAGAAATAAAACTAGGCCAGATGTGTGCAGACAGCAAGCCCTCAGCACCCAAACTAATTACACACAAGCAAATGTTTCCCAAAATGCTTTTGCTCAGGATGATCAGTTTGTCATGGTATTATCTAAATCCAACTTCCTGACTATAAATGCTAAAAGATTAGGCTACCAGTCAGCCTTCCCTATGTGCTCCTCCCATTAATCTTGAAGGAGAACAGAAATTGAGCCAGATATTGGAAATGCTTGATATACAAAGCCAGCTCTGTTCGCAGACATTTGGACTTTAAGCTGGAATCCATCAGAAAACATATGAGGGTTCGTCAAAAAGTTTCTGGGAAAATAGAATTAAAAGATAATAGAATCTGTCCACAAAGTTTTTGAATTATCCTTGCCTATATTATTTTATAGGTCTGTAGCTCATAAATATACATAGTCGTGCATTTCTGTTGTTTGAATTTCTTGATGCTTCCGTGAATTGTCATTCACCAGGATACTTCTTAAATGACAGACATGATAAGATAAGCTTTCACTTAATTATAATTCAGACATATATAACTTTTCTTCCTGCTTCCTGAATTTCTTTAACAAAAGTATCTTTATTTCTTCCTCTTTCTTCTCCTCCTCCTTCTTTTTTTTTTTTAATACTTACTGACCTTCATTTCAAATATTTGTTGTGCCAGACCAGAAGTAAACACTTTAAGAAGAACTAGAGTTCCTCTTAAGTCAACTAGGATAAATTGTAGAATAACTTCAGAATTAAGATGGAATTCCTGAAGCATGTTTTTCAACAAAGAAATATGGCACTTTCACAACATTCTAATCTTTAGCAGGTGCAGGACCTCAATTCTCTTCTTGAACTTAAGATTTAGATTATGTTCTTAGAACATTTGCCCCTAGACATTCTAACATGCAGCTAAACTATCACAACCCCCAAACCCTTCAATTCTAAGCAGCCTGCTCTAGCCATATACAGGATCATTCATGTAAATCAAAGAGAAAATTGCATTTGGTAAAGACACTTTCTTCTCAGTGCTGTGGAGTTATGACATTCTCCAGGGATGTGTGAGGTAGACTTTAGTCTTTGACAGGGAGGTAATATGCAAATAAGGTAGGTGAGCCTGTGACAGATCAATCAAAATTTATGCACAATGAGAATAGAAGGATTGAATGCCTGCACTTAATATTAATTTAAGAAGGATTGTCTGGTTTCTTAGACAATCTTTTTCATTGAAAGCAGTGTTTGGGGACTCATCTGATTATAGATGCCACAGAGTGAGTGCTGCTTCTTGTGTGTAAACCAGAAACCTGACAATCAAAGAAAAGAGTGGGAAAAGATTTGTTATAATTTTAAATTGTAAATAGCAGCACTAGGCACAGAGTGGAAAACAATGTAAGGGAAACATTCCTTTCTTAAGCAGACCAGTTATTGCAAATAAATGAACAACAAAATAAAAAAGATTCTTGGGAGAGGATATGTAAGAATATACATTCTTGTTCATATTTAGTAAAAATGTTCAATGAATGACAAATTCCCATAAATTATTAGGAACATAAGTTCTTTAATCTCAAGGGAATGGAAGAAATTCACAATGAGTAAGCTAGAAGTAATTGACAAGAACCTGTTGGAAAAATGAAATTCTTGATGATACTTTATGGGGACAGACTAGAGAGTTTTAAGTGTTAGTTACCTACAACAAAGAATGGTGTTTTTCAGCTACTTTGTTTATCAAAGATTACAGAATCTCCTCTGTATCGTGTGGAACAAAAAAGAAAAGAAAAGAAAAACCTTTTCGTTGTTAAGGCAAAACAAGTGCCCTCAACCATAATTGTGCTTCATTAAGTACACTGTCAAATCCTTTCCGACTCAATACATTTAAGCCATAGACTGAAGAGTGTTTTGTGACAGATGTTGCCAACACATTAAGGGTAATTTCGTTTACTTGAAATGTATAGAATGTGCTGTCTGACAGAGTTCAGTTGGCAAATGGCAAAGCAAGAGGAAACAGATTTTTCATTTTAGCATCTCCGGATGTCTGGGTTTGCTCAATGCTTAAGCTGCAAAGAAAAATATTGTAGTATGCTGTAATTCTACTAAAAAGCACATTGACCAAACAGCTGATGAGAACGTCTGGTCCATTTTAGCCACTGCCTCTGCAGAACAAAGCTGCTCCCACTACAGAGACAGAGACTGGATCTGGTCGCTCTAGTTCTGAAATAAACAATTTCAACAGTAATTGGGGTAAATTCCAAAGATCATCATGTGTGGAGTAAATATATCTGATCTAAGGCCAGAAAAACATCTGTGTTGTTAACCTTCTGCCAATACTTGAAAGAAATTTGAAGTCTTTGAGAGTGCATCAATATTTTTATTTCCCCACTGAAATACAGGACCACTGGCAAATCAGGGAAAGCATGCAACCTCTCTCTCGTTAAGAGCACACATAGCTGGCCTAAAACCTATATGGATGCTAGAACATAGACGACTATGAGAAGACCTGGCTATTTTAATATTCCTGTGATAGTCAGTATTCTAGGCCAGTGCCACTCCAACTGTGGTCTGTGGATCAGCAGCAGAAGCAGACCACGAATTAGAATCGCTGGCTTCAGGCCCTGGAATCTGTTTAACAAGCTCTCCTGGTGACTCTGATATACCCTAAAGTTTAAAATGTATGCTCTGTCTATAAACTGCTATTGCATAAGCCAATGTTACAGTTCTTAGAGGCCAACAACTGGCTTTATTTTATTTATGCTGCTTCTCAATTATTTGATTTAATCCAGTCTTGCTGTAGGGCATGAGCCTTTATGTCATAATCATATTACATCTTGTTAAAAAAAATTCAAAGAGGCCATGCCTGCATTTTTGATGAGCTCAACTAAGGAGATTATCTGAATAATTCAGGCCTAAGCCTGATGACCTGACGTGCTTCCATTTGATCAGTTATCATACATTTGAGAATCCTTCCTATTTGGAAACTCAGTGAGCCTTGTATTTGAAATCCTAGGAATGTAAAAGTAAAAGGTAAGAAAATTACTTGGATAATATGAGAGAAAGAAAAAAAGAAAAAAATATCACCCCCTTTTCCCTTCTTGTCTTGTCTAAATGCCTCAGATCACAATGTTTGTGGTCCATGTTGTACTATTCCCTATAGTGATTCATGCAAAACTGAAAATAACTTTTAGTAATTATATCATTTAATATGACTTTAAAAAATGTGGTTGTAGGTTATTATTCTTTCTCATCTGTGTGATTTTCTCTCTGTCAATTTTTAATATTTCTACGATAAACATTTGGTTGAGTTTGTGTACACCAAACTATATTTAGCATATGTAAAAGGAGTGCAGTGAATGATCTGAGCTCACAAATAAACTAGTTAGTGGGAATGATTTTCCAGTAAC